GTAATTAAGGTGTGAACTAGTTGGTTTTGAGAGAAAATCATAAATTAAATCACCTTTTGCATATGGAGAATTTTGCAACTTCTTGTGAACCCCTCTATCTTCAAAACTGATAAGTTAGTTGTATACTTCAATAGTTTCAAATCAACATTTCAGCGGATCAGAAATAGGGAAGGGAAAAAAAAAAAATCAACAAACATACAACTTATTTTGTTATTATTTATTTTAAAATATGACTCAAAACTTATAAATTAATCAAATGTATGATATCATTCAAACTCATGTTTGGCATATTAATATACAAAGCTATCAAATTAAAAATAAAAAATAAAAAATGCAACAAAAATGAGGGGTGAGTGAGTGCTATATGATATTAGGGATAGGAAGAGAATATGTGTAGGCAAGTGCAATATGAAAAACAAAAAAGTGCAATATAATTTTTCATATGCATATAGGTTAATTGGGTCAATTTGTAATCCACAAGCCACTAGACCCGTCAATTTTTATCAGATAACCTAAACCAAACCGCTCACGTTCTCAAACCCTTAGTTGAGTTTGTTTGGTTTGGCAATTTGACAATTTTATTGAACACCTTTACTGATGTGATAGTGATGGTTGTATTAGCGATGCTGATGGTGGTGGTATTGATTGTGTTGGTGATGGTAGTTGAGTGATATTGGTGGAGTGATAGTTGTAGACATAATAATAAGAGGTTAAAAGTTTAATTCATCATTTCAATTAAGAAAGGGGTATTTGATAATATGATTCAGTACTTAAGATTGAATTGATTAAGTGATATTTAATTAAGTCCGTTTAATAATCATAAGTGATATCATTTACAAATTTAAGTACCTTTTAAAATATAGGCTAAAATTTTAAATAATTTTAAGTCATATAAAACTTACTTAATTCTGATTGAATTTATAAATAGTAAACATAAGAATCAATATATATTATTATAAATTCACCACCACTATCACCACCACCACCACCACTACCGCTACTGCTACCGCTACCAACACAACCATCACCTCCACTAGTACCACTATCACCATTATTATTGTTATCACAATCACTACCACCATGCCACCACCACTATTACTACTACCACCATTATGCCACCGCCATGCTATCACTATCACCACCACCGTCACTACCGCTGCCGCTACTCAGGCCCAGTCCTGATATTTTCGGGACTCAAAGCCGATAATCAACTGATAAATTATTGGGGCCTTTTACATTTTTTTTTCATTGAATGAATTTTTTTTTTGAAGGTACAGGGCAAAAGATTTGTGTCAAAATTAAAAAAAATACTTAGCATTACATTACAACAATTAATAAGTATCGCTTGATTATCGTTCTTCTTGCATTTTTAGAAGCAAATAAATTAATCATACTTGCATAATCTAGTTTTTTTTTGCAAAATCATTTCAATGGATAACAATGCTAATTATTTTAAATGGGCCTTTCAATTTTTTTAATGAGTCAATTTATTTTAAATTAGTTTGGCTCTTCCTTATTTTTTTTTTGGACTTAAAACATACCTAATATATTACACTAAATTATAATAGGAGGGGGCCTTTTTTTGGGTCTGTTGTCAATGGATAATAATACTGATTTTTTTGAATGGGCCTTTCAATTTTTGATTGGGTAAATTTATTTTAAGTTAGTTTGAGCCTTTTCAATTTTTTTTAGACGTAAAACATACCTAATATATTACACTAAATTATAATATGATGTAAAAAAAAAATTAGCGTAAATTACACTGACCCCTCCTGAGGTTTGGTCCAATTACATTCCACCCCTTGACGTTTTGGAAATTACGTTCCTACCCTTGTGGTTAATTGTCTCATTTCACAAACTCCCTTACTTATATAAAAGACAACAACTCTTAATAGAAAAACAGAGAAAATTATATTGACAAAAAAAAGTAAAGCAAAGGAAAAGGGGAAAAAAAAAACCGAGGAAGTAAAGTAAAGCATGAAAAGAGAGAGTGTATGAGTTCAATATTTTCATTCCGTCTAAATAATTACAATGACAGGGGAGTTAGTGTAATTTTTCAAATGTCAGGGGTGATATGTATTAAACCTAAACCTCAGGGGGTGTAAGTGTAATTTATCCAAAAAACTAATATGTTTGGAATAATTTTTAAATTTTTTACGAAAAAAAGTACAAAAAGTAAAAAAAAATAAAAATATTTGACGTTTTAGTATACGTTATTGGTTTTTTTTTTGAATTTTTAAATAATTTTTTGACTTCTAAATTAAAAAATGATAGTCTAAAACAGTTGATTTTCAAACCAATTAATAATTTACATTTTTTTTGGGGTGAATATTAATAATTTACATTTAATTAGTCCACATGGATAAAGTAGAGCAGCTCCCATTCAGTCTTTGATCTGACCGAAGATGTGGCCCATTGTGGGTGTACGTTGCGCTCTTCTCAACAGTTCAAATTGTTTATTTGTGAAGCTTATTGAGAATATTATTTATATTAAAATTAAATTGATTAGATGTTGATAGTCATTTTATTAAAATATATTTTGTATAGAAAAAATAAATAGATTGTTTGCGGTTAAAATAATATGAACAATTTAGATTATCAAAACATGTCTAATGTCAGCGCACAACAATCGAACTAAATCTAACAAATCAAGTCAATGATGGATTAAAAGTCATATTTTAAGAGTTTCAAATCTCTTCTACAAAATAAATAAGATGGAAAATAATATTTTCATTCTGAATTGTTGATGCATTAGTTTTTGGTGGCGTTATATGAACGTGAGAGAAGGGCTCCTCTTTTCTCTTTATTGGTGTAATTTGTTTGTACCTTGTACTACATTTTCATCAATGAAGTCTCTTGCTTTGCCGTTCAAAAAATATGAACGTGAGAGAATCTGACGGACTAGTGGGGCCTATCATATATTCCATTTTGACTATTAGCATTATTTATTTTGTAAGACTTTTAATATATGTCATTCATGATAAAAATTAATTTGATTCAATAATCGTAATATTTTTATTTTATCACATGTGATTTCGAAAAAATGAATGAAAAGTATGTTTTTTAAAATAGATAATTTATTTTCTTGAAACCAAACACAATAAAAAGTAGCAGATTATGATTATCCGACCAACTTACTTTTTTTTTCATAGATGATATACACAAAGGATTTTACAAAAATAAAAAAGAAAAATAAAGAAAAGGAAAAAAAAGAAGATATAGGTGACTGAAACAGGACCGTGGTGAGCACAAAAAGCTAAATTTGAACTTGAGAAAATCCAACCATTATTTTTATTATCAGTAATAATACAAAATCATAAATTTTTATCTAAAATTGTACCTAAAAACATCCAACATATGATCCAGATTCATCTATGTACAAATTTCACATCACAACAACTCAATCTTAGCCATACTCTCAAATTGGAGGAGGATCGCCTTTAGTCGAAATTTTGGACTGGACGATGCTGTTTAAGTCCGTGGGGCTCACCACGCATGAGCTCTGTTTCAATAAATGAACCGTTTATTTTGTCGGATATTTTGTGTATTTCATCCATACAAAAAATTTAGCTGATTCAATAGCTGTAACTAGGGCTGCAATTGAACAGAACCGTTTGTGAACAACTTCAAACTCGGCTCGGTAAGAGCACGCTCGAACTCAGTTCGTAATTTTTTTTTTTCGTTCAAGTTCGAGCACGTTAAATTTTTAATAAACAAATCCAAAGATACTAAAACTCAGTTCATTAGCTAACTCGTTTAATATTTTTTATTTATATATTAAATAATATTAAAATATGTATAAAAAATAAGATAAGTATGTTATTTATATATTTAAAAACTATAAATATAAATAATAGTTAATTATAGATATTACATTTATATAATAGTGGTGATAGATATTATTATTTTGATCAAATATTGACTGTTTTCTAGTATGTTTATATATATTGTATATATAATTATGTAATCAAAATTTTAATTGTAACTTTAGTATCATATGCAAGTACGAATTTATATATTTTTAACTCATTAAGGCTCGTGAACAGGCTCGAGTTCGAGTCAAGTCTAAGCGAACTTAGCTCGAGTTCAATTCGTTAAATTTTTATTGAGCTTGAACTCATTAAAATCTTAATAAATAAGCCCAAACATACTAAAATTTGGCTCGGTTCAGCTCGTTTGCAGCTCTAATTGTAATTTGTTCAATTTAAAATGTTTTTAACCAAAAAAAATTTATGATTTATTTTTAAAAACACAAACATTTTTGGTTAAAAACGTGATAAATTAAGAAAGTTACAGTTATTGAATTGACTTAATTATTGTGTGATAAAATACACAAAATACTTAACAAAATAAATGATTTGAATCATTAAAACGAAATTCTTGATGAGCTCCACGTGCCATATAATCCAAAATCTAAACCGAAAGGGATTCCCTTCCTTTCAAATTCTGGCCGAATTCCTGTGTTCTTGTTTTTGGGAGCCTAGATTTTTAATTTTAATTTAACTGAGGTAAGAAATTTTGAGTTGGGTTGGGTGACTTGCAATTGCAAATCGAGTTACAGTCTACAAATAACACAGTAATAGTTAACCATGATTAGTTAGTTAGTAGTAGTAGTAGAAGAGTGGAGAATAAAATACATCATATGATTTAAAACAAAAGGGTGGGGGTGCTACATTGCAGATGCAGAGATCCCCAATAAACCACCACCCTCTCTTCCTTCCCTGAGGAGAGGTGATGTGGTCGTCATTGCATCGTGACCCGAGCACCTTATATATAAATTTTAAATAATTTACTAAATTTTTTATTAAATTTCTTATATTAATGTGTGATTTGTACAAATATATATATATATATATATATGAATCTTACACTTCTATAAAAAATTTAATAAATTATTTAAAATTATCAATTTTTTTATATCAAATTTCTTATATTAATATGCGATTTATACAAATCTATATATACATATATAGCAATTAGGATGAAAGAGAGTGTTTGTGTGTATCGTGGTCATATCGTCGTCTCCTGCATTTCTTCCCATTTATCAATTCCCAATAACTAATAGATACAGAGAGAGAGAGAGAGAGAGAGAGATAAAAAGAAAGAGAGAGAGAGGGCAGTGCAGAGTTGGGTTCTCTGGCCTAGATCTGTTGAAACTTGGGAGTGAGTGAGAGAGACACTCCAGATTAAAAAAATATGATAAAATAGAAGAGATGATAGATAGTGAGAGAAAGAGAGAGAAATATGATAACTACTATACTGTTACTATACTCAGTCACTGGCTCACCATTTGTTCAAGTTAAAAAATTATCTCCCAAAAATCAAAAAATTTGACTGAATTATGCTTCATGGATCCGCTTTTTCCGCTCCCTCACCATCAGAGCATTCCTCAGCCTTTTTGAGCTTTCCTTTTCCTATTACCTCAAATCCCCCGCTCTCTCTCTCTCTCTCTCTCTCTCTCTCGCTTTTTTTTTTCTCTCTCTCTCTCTGAGTGGGCTAAACTAAAGACTTCTCAGACTGTTTAACACTATTACAGCTACTTCTGTCATTTTCATTCTGATTCTTCCGTCGCTGCAAGCTTTTCTTCCCTCATCTCTACTTGTCTCCTTGATTAGAAAGCTAGACCAAAAGGAAAACTCTCTGTCTCTCTCTGTCTCTCTCTAGCCAGATAATGGGCAAAGAGTGGTTGTACCGGGGTGGTGGTAGTGGTAGATCCACAAAGGGAGGAAGATTAGGAGGAGGAGGAGGAGAGAGAGAGACAGCGTCTGGGTCTGGATGCATGAGTGCTGTTTTTCAACTCTTTGATTTCCATCAGTTTCAGTTTGCATTGCACCAACAAGTACCCCCTTTTAAGCCTGACGTTGACTCTTTTCTTCCTGAAGAACCCACTCTCCTCAAAGGTAAGGCTCTCTCTCTCTCTCTCTTGAAGAGCAAGAAGAAGAAGATTTGAGTTATGGGTATTGTGCAAATGCAGGGGTAGAGGCACCAAGGAACAGCTTGGAGATGGATCAGGATGAGCATTTCAGGGAAGCTGCTTCATTTCCATCAACAATGAAAGAGGAAGAAACTTTAAATATTCCAGTAAGATATTTGTTGTTGTGTGTTAGTTACTATCATTTCTCTTTTTCAAAATTTTTATAATATGTATTTTTATATTTTCCAAGTTTAAAAATTTTAAAAATAAAAAAGTTGTTTTCATAAAGGAGGTAATGATGATGATAATAATGATATGATATGATGTATATATATATATATATGTTGGATCATTAATCTGTATTGTTATTGGTTTTGAAAATCCAGATGGGTATTCAAATCAAAACAAGTGTAGTTGGATCAAAAGTTGGAACTCCAAAGGCAAGAACAGATGATTTATCTTCAGAAACTAGTAGCTCTCCAGGAGCCAAGACCCCAAATCTAGTGGCCAGACTAATGGGTCTTGATCTTCTTCCTGATAGCTGCTCTCCCTCATCATCTTCCTCAAATCACTCAACATCAAAGTTACATCCACTTCCACATCCTCAACTTCAAAATCTAAAACAAGAAATCCGGCATCATCGACATCTGAGTCAAAGCCGGTCAACAGGCAACAAAAGTTTCTTTGACACCGATGTCATCGGTAGTCGTTCATTGCCAGAAACTCCAAGAATTTCATCAGCCAGAAGGTCAGATGTGGACCACCGGCTTTCCCTTCAAATAAGCAAAGAAAATATTGTTGGAGGCGAAGAATTCGAATTCTCAGGCTATTTAGCGACCAAGATGGGTCGAAGAAGAGAAATTAGGCAAGAAGACGATAGCAAAAGTCCAGGCCACTACGCAAGGCAGATTGCCAAACAAGTTAAAGAAAGTGTTAGCAGGAGAGTTGGTATGGAGATAACCAACACAATCAGAAACAGAGAGCAAGGAAGAAGAGACGATCAAGTTGTTTTACTCAAAGCAAAGAAACCATCCAAGGGTTTAGTTTTAATTGGTGATGAGTCGAGCCCGAGTAAACATCAACAATCAACAACACCTTCTTGTTCGCCGAGGGTCAGGTTCTTGGAAGTCAAGAACAAGAATCATCAGCTTGTTCAGTCTCCAAAATTGTCAGCTTCACACTTGTCATCATCGGTCGATAATACTCAAACTCAACTAAAATCGGGTAAAGTTTCTTCGAAGCCGCCCAAGCCTCAAGCACCAATGCAAGAGCAAAAACAGCAGCAGCAGCAGCTGAATTCGAGCCAGAAATGCAAGAAAATTGAAAGCGAGCGTTACGGTTCGCGTCTCAAAAAGCCTCCGCTGACTTCTGATGTGTTTCGGAACAAGCAGGAGGAGCTGTTTGTTCGATCATCTGCAACAAATAGAGTGAACCACTCGGAGAAGAAATGCAAGAAAACGCCATTGTCAAGTGAGCTACTCAACATCAATGTCCCAAGTTCACTTTTTCCAGTCAAGAAAGATACTTCATCTTCAACAACAAAATTGCCTCAAAAACAGGTATTCAACATTGCCCTCTCCATTTGCCCCATTAGTATAAAACCAGTACCTACAAAAATTGCCACTAAATCTACCTAGAACCGTGATTATGGTTGAAATTAATTACTATATTGTGGAGTCTATGTGTTAGATAAATTTGAGTCACACAATAATATTTTTAAATAATATTTATGGGTTCATATAGCATTCTTGTAATTTTTATGCAGAATTGTCATTAAAAAATGATATGTCAATTTTTAAAATTTTCAAATTATTATGATACATTTTAAAAAAAAATTGAACTGAATCTTGAAATGTTATATAAAAAATTCTAATTTTTAATATTATTTGTATACCATTATTTTCTTTAATTTCTTTTTAAATATTCTTTTTAGATCTTGTTCTCCTCAATCTCATTTTATTGGTATTTTATGAATATACATACTCTTAAAGACATATGCTAAGATATTTATAAAAAAAAATGATTTAGATTATGTCAAGTTGGTCTTTTTAATCTGAGAGAGCGTTCAGACTTGGTAAGCCTATTTTGGGGTTGATTTCGATAATTCGAACAATTCACTTTTCAATACTCGCTAACTAGAATATTTATGTAAATAATTTAAATGATCAGATATCAGTAATTATATATGTAAATAACATTTGTATTATAAAAAAATATATGACTATTCTGGAAATTATAATAGTCTTCTGTTTAAAAAAAAAACAAAAAACAAATATGATTCAAACATATAACTATCAATGTCTGATCATCTTAATTTTTTACATGAATTTCCACTCAACAAGTCATAACAAGTGAACGGTTTAAATTACCGAGGTCGGTCCCAAAATGGACTCACCAAACCCCAATGCTCTCTGAAATTGAATGATCAACTTGCGAAAATATAATCCCTCAAAAAAACTATACATTTTGTATAAAAATACATTCATTAAAGAATGTATAATGTTTTAATCCTTTGAAGTTAGCAAATATCATTAAAAAATAAACTACTATTTTTTTTACACAAAATGATAAGGTTGTCTATTTTTTTTTTTTTTTTTTGTTCATATAAAAACACTCATCATCATCACGCGTAATTTCAAAAATTACAACATTTTGAAAGAATTTTTTAATCATTTTCATATTTAAAATTAGTATCCATTTATCTTCTCATAAAAAAATAATTAATAAATACATAAAACTCATTCTAACATTTGTTTTCTGTGACAAATAATTATATTTTAATTTAAAATGAAAAGTTGAAAAAAAAAAATCACATCATTGTGTTTCAACTTTATGTGAAAAAATGAAACAGATCTAAAAATCACATCATTGACATGATGAAATTTCAATATAAATTTTTTAATTCATATGATATTTTATTTTATTTACATATTACAATAATGTTTGTTATCGTATGTGTGATGTAATTGGTAAAAACAGGGACAGGTATCAGATGCTGTTTCATCGAAAAGCGGCACACAGTTATCTAGTTGTTGGAGCCAACCGTACATCAAGCACAAGCACAAGCAGAAGCAGCAACAACAACCGTCTCATCCGCAAACTCTGACCGTCCAAAATAGCTACTTCTACTACCACACCACCACTAACGCTGGAGGTACTGCTGCTGGTGGTGGTGCCCAATTTCAGTACATCACACAAATACTAAAATGTAGTGGCATCCACTTGAATACCCCTCTCTCCTCCTTCACCCCTTACTGCTACTCTCCTTCTCACCCCCTCCACCCTTCAATCTTCCACCACCTTGAACTCTCCTTCCTCACCGCCACAGCCACCGCCACCACCACAGCCACCGCCATCGAAGACTCACAACAACAGCAAGAACTGAGCCATCGCTGCAACAGAAAGCTGGTATTCGAGCTAATCGATGAACTTCTAGTGCCAATTTTGAAACCTCACATAAATTTGAAGCCGTGGCTATCTCCAGCAGCTTCTTCATTTCAATATGATATGTGCGGATCACAATTAATTGACACGCTGTGCTCGAAAATTCAAAGTTTTCCTTTGGCGGATTGCAGAGTCCTGGAAGATATTGATGCGTTGATCGATCAAGATTTGTGTGGATCGCAACAACTAAGGGGATTGGTGGAGCTTGAAGAGGAAGGGGAGGAGGTAGTAGCAGAGGTGGAGCGTGAGATTGTGGAGACGCTGGTGCATGAAATGGCTGAGGAAGTAGTGTTTGGGAGGTGGTGAGATATGTGTGTGTGTAAAAGAGCGAGAGAGAGAGAGAGAGAGAGAGAGAGAGAGAGAAGAGCAGGAAATAGTGTGAACAGAGGGAGAGAGAGGGTCCGACGGAGGTCACATGCGTGGTTCATGTGATGAGATACCATTCGGTCGGTGGTGTGGATGTGGGTTTGGGTTTGGACCACTTTTCCCAAGAATGATTGGGAACTTTGTAAAGACAGGTTAGAGCCCTACACGTGGGACTTCTGTAAAGAGAATGGACTCGTTTTTAATTTTATTTTACTTTTAATTTTAATGAGATAAGAAGTCTTTGGCCGACAATGTTCTTTTTCTCATTTGATTCTTTTAATCACCCTTCTATCATCTTATTTTTAGGCATCATTTGGATAAAGAATTTGATAAAAAAAAGTTTAAGAAGATGATATATAAATTTATTTTTTAAATTTAATGATATGTAAAAGAAATAATTGACTGATAATTAAAAAATATATGAAACAGAAAGTTGATTTAGATATTCTATTTATTTTTTATTTTTTTGACCGGCAAAGAAAATTTTATGGATTATAACAATGAGGAGCAAAGGAACAATCAATAAAGGGGAGGGGAAGAGAAGAGAGTTTAATTATCACCTTATTGAATTTAAAAAGTTGGTTTAATTTTTTTGGATTTAAATAGCAATACTCAAATATTTATGGTGTGAAAAGAGAAGAGAATATTTTTTTTTAAAAAAATTCTAATTGATAAATCATTTCATTTTTTCTTTTGTTTCTTCACTTAAATTCTTAATCTGAACTCGCTCTAATAACCATTGGGCTGCGCTAAGAATTGAGAGCGCTATGACCTCGTTGGTAATTTTGTTTTGCTACTTAACGATCTGTGTTTGTAATATGTGTTTTAGGGTAAACTAAAATAACTTCTCTTGAGATTGAAAACAAATAGATAAATAAGGTAAGTCTCACAATATTGTTTTTAAATTTAAAAAAAAAAAAATAGTATTATGAAAAAATTATAATTTTATTAAATAAATTAATAACACTGTTAAAAAAATTGACAATCTTGTAACGAGTGGGTAAAATGTTACGCATTATTCCAATCTAGGATTCTTGATTTGTCTCCATTCGGTTCTCAAGATTTATCTCATACCGTTAAACCAACCAGTCATTAATGCTCTGTTTGTATTTTTCTCAGAATGGATGTATTTAGTGGCAGACTGGCTGGCTAAATTCAAACATATATAGTTTACTCTTTGCAGGAAATATAACGATCGTGTATGTCCAAATGCACCCAAAAACATGGAAACAATAAAAACTTGGGTTAGCTTTTCTTACGATGGGTGTTTAGGTCAATTTACGGATAACTCGATTAATTTTGATGTTCACGTGAAGTGATCTCTCTAAGTTGATTGAACAAATCTTGAGTAGAACCTACGGATATGATCCCAATGAGTTGATAGCACCTAGTAGGAGTTGAACCTGAGATATGGATGGAGTAAAACCTATGGCCCCAAGCTACACCCATTAGACCCGTTGACTTTTTTTTTTCTAGAAAAAAAAAAATGGATTACATAATAGGATTATTTGGCCAAAATCCCATTATTGAGCCTATTTTTAGTGAAAATGGCATAGTAAAATTTTTAGTGTTAGATAGAGTAAACTTTTATGATTGATGTTAATTTCAACCAGAAAAATTTTACTGTTTAAAAAAAAAAAATCATAACCAACATGAATCTTATTTGATAGTTCTTAACGAAAGGATTCCAAAAATGTTAATTTTATTAAAAAATGACATCCAAATAAAAAGTTATATTATTTTAAAGTTTAAAATATTAAATTAGTTAGTAAAGATATTTTGGTAATAGTTGTATGTATTGGATTTTTCAAGAATTTTTTTTTTAATATTTACACAATTGAAAGACCTCATTACATCCCAAATTTTCAAAAAAAAAAACGTCATTACACTTTTATCTCTTTCCAAAATTAACAAAACAACCTTCAAGACCTAATCCTAATTTTTTAGCCCAATCTCTCCGGCAACCACTACAACTATAGCTGTGACCTCGATGAGCCCCTTTGTCACTTCCGTTACCTCTGGTGCCAAAAGCAATTGGTGATTTTCATTCCTCGAACAACGAACCCTTCTCCTGGTTGCCCATGGTTGCCCTTTCTCCCATTTTCTGCCCTGTTGACCGTGCCATGTCCCTTGTCCCCTCTCCTATTACGCTTTTCAAACCCAAGAAGGCCTTTGAATTCATCTTCGTCCCAGTACTCAAACAACGTTTTTGAGGATTTTGGAGGTAGATCGGAGGGTTGAGATGAATCATCAGAAGATTGGTAAGGGATTGTATCGGGAAGGTCGTGATGAAACTGGCATCGGACTGAGTAAGAGTCGAACGAGGTGGAGTGCGACAAGGGAGATCAGTGAATTAGAGAGAGTCGTCTTCTAGGGTTTTATCAGATTCATCGACGTTAATGCCTCTCTCCACTATGAAAACGAGCGCGTGAGAGAGAGATTTGGTCTAGATCTGCAAATCGATTTGGAAAAAATAAAGAAGAAGAGAAGAAGAAGAGAAGAAGAGCTTGAAAAATGAAGAAGAATAAGAAGAAAATGATGAGGTTGAATTGGTCAAACATGGCAGAGAGGGTGGTCGTCAATGAGACAGGAGTTGCGGGTTGGTTGTCGGAGGCAGTGACAGTGGTGTCAGAGGTAGTGGTTGGTAGTGGTTGGTAGTGGGTGTAATAACCCAAGCAATATATGGAGCCAAACATCTCCCTAAATTAAACCTAACCTAGGATATCGAAAATCAACTCCAAACATGATTATTTGTGAAGCCAAACACTACCCAGCAACTTTTAAGAAGAATGAGAAATGCAAATTTTCATTTATTTATTTTTTTTCATTCTCTTTTCCTCCATTCGCTATCTTCTCTTTAGATTTCTCTTATTTTCCTTTACTTTTTTAGTGACCAAACAGCTCACATTTGCTTATGCTTTACTCATTTTATCATGTCATGATTATTTTCTTGACACTTTTGATATGGGAAGCCATTTTTGATATTTTTGAACTAAAGATACTATTGTATGCACTAAATAGTATTTTCTTTGAATTGTATGCACAAAAGATATTATTTTTTTAACTAAAGCCATTTTTGGGTCAAATAGTTTTTTCTTTCAGTCAATGCATTGTATGCAATTGTTTTAAATATTTTGAATATATTGAATCTTTATGCTAATTATAATTCAATGAACTCTTAATTGGTTATATATATATATATTGTAGTACTTTGACTCTTACCATAGTCACTTGATGTAACGCCCCGAAATCAGGGACAATAAACCATTCGTAATATTAATAAATAATCATACCATTCTGAATACAACATCCCTTCCATTTCATATGATTCCATGATACAAAAGGTAGCACATGCAATTATATATTCACAAGTCCTAACTCTAAATCTATAGAATGTGATACAAGTTAAAGATATGAAATAAGAGTTAAAACTAATAAGAAATACCCTAAAGGCTTACAACTTTCCAAGACAATACTTGGTTACAACAAAAGTGAGTTTTAAACTCAATACAGGTAAAGCCTTAGGCTTGTACAAAATAATTACAACACGTAAACAAAATGAAGCTCTTGCTCCAAGTCCTCCCAAACTATTGTCTTGGCGGAGACATATCATCAGCACCTGAAAATGGTTTTCCACATAAGGTGAGTCAAAACCCATTAGAGATACCACAACACAGTTTATGAATCTTAACAAAGTTATAAGATGAATGTATATGCAATGCTCGTGCCAAAACGTTCTCATTTCTTTTGTCAAAAACCGTGCAATGCAAAGCTTATATCTCAAATCATGATATCATTTCCTTTACAAAAGAAAACAGGGTAATGAATATAACACTGTGAATCTCTAGGACATGTCTGCAAATAGGCTACAAGTACTATCAAATTGTCATTTTACGGTATTAACCGAAAGGCTCATCACCTAATCGTGTGGGTTTCTGATCTTTTACCAAGGACACACATGCTAACTTAATATCACAACTACACTCCTGCCCATATTCACCAAGTTATTCACCCATTTTTCTCAAAACAACAATGTTTTCAAATGTATTAAATATAAAACAATGCTCAATGCAATGGATAAGAAAATAGCTTCAATTCTCCTAATTCTTAGTGCATTTTTTATGGGAGGCGAAGTGAGAAAGTGATGGAACCCTAGAAGGGGTTTTAGAACCTTCCTATTTACCTACAAATAAAGCCCTTCCCCCTCCCTTTCAAGGGGTTAAGAAATCTTGAGTTTTTACAGAGTTTTAAGAGCCAAACACTCCCCTCCTCTCCCTTAGCCTTAGACACAAAATTTCTCCATTCACAGTAGCTCTGAACTTCTAAAAATCATCCTAAGGTGTGAAGAACCTGAACTACTTCAGAAACCTAAGCTTGAGAGAGGCTTGCAAACAAGAAACTTGACTTTTCATGCTATTTCTTAGTGTGTTCTTCAGTTTAATCAAATCAGCAAGTAAAACTCCTTTACCTTTCCGTATTTCCATATTTTCTTGTTTTATTTTTCAATTCTTATCCATGCTAGGTTGTTAGTTCGTCATTCTATCATGTAGTTCCATTATTTCATTAAATTTCTCGCCCCTTTTTATGCATGTTTCTTCTATGCCATTAGAACAACATGTTTTAAGTCTTATTTAGCCATATAATAATCACGTGTAGACGCGCCCCGAGGACTCCCGAAGCTCCGCGCTTGCGAAGGCGCAAAATCTCGTTTGTTCTCTAGCTACTACAATTCGGACTCAATGTCACGGTTCTGAATCTAATCTCGCAATGTGCAATGCAAGACCGATAAATCACTAAAGAGTCCAAATTCGGCAAATCGTTTTGGAAAATTGATTTTTGTAAAGAAGTGCCAAACATGGACTGCTTTGCTGGATACAGAGTCGCCACCTAAATATTTTATTTTGGCAAAATTTAGGAAACCCTGACTCGTGCCTAAGGCCACGTGTCTGTCATCACCAAAGTTGCCTCGGTTCGGGAACTTAGGTACGAGAGGGGAAGGTCATGCAATGAGCACCCCTACTCGCCCGATTAAAGATCGGCCTTTACTAAGCATGATATCTTGTTTTTGAAAACACGTGCATTCTTATTCCAGTTATAAGCTAGAATTACTATGTGATGCGCACAAAACACAAGTATAGACTAGATCGCCTAATTTGGAACAGAGCACTGCATATTTGTTGTTCAAAAAACAATTTGAAGTTTGCTACTCGCAAGTAGGCTAAATCGATGATTCAATGAATTGTTCCAATTCA